CCAACATCACCGCAGCAGCCAGTTGCATTTTTTCATTCAGAAGATCATATTTCTGGTTCAGTAATTTGCATTTCAAGACGACATACACTCTACAGAGCTCCTTCCATTCGTCTACCCTTGTCTCCTCACACAAGTAACCTTTTTTCCCTTTTTTTTTTTTTTTTTTGTAGCTTAAAAGGAACCGCGTTTTTTTAGTGTAGTTCTATACGTAGCAGCTTTTTTTCCTTGTGCTGAAGTAGTTCAAATTCTAAAGTAATTGCTAACCCACTAAATAACACATCAGTTAGTAGTTACATAATTTTAAATTTTAAACAGGTTCAAACTTACGATTATCTAAGGAATTAATTTTTTTTCGAAATAAAATAAAATAGTTATAAAGAAATGTTGTATATACCTATAAAACAACAATACATGTAATAGAAAAGGATGAAAGCATATATGATACCTCAACTTTAGGGTTAAAATACAGCAAGTATAATATACATGCGTTATAGGGCAAACACCAAAAACCCAATATTTGCCTACTCTATAGTTTTTTTGGGTCAAGCCTACTCTATAGATTAGAAAATAAAATTTGTAATAGAGGTAGGTAGATTACGTTGGCAAACATAAAAAGAATGTGATAGAGGTAGATTAAAAAAAAGGGTACAAATAGATAAATACATTTAATCTACGACATAAATGACACCCACGAAAAACTCAAATATATGGTAGAGATAGATTATCATGTCTCGTATATAGGTCGATAAACAACATGCTTAGTTGCAGGAAACCTTTCATAAAAGAAAAAAAAAATTAGGAGACCTACGTCATAGGTAGATGAGCCCACTTCAAACCCTTGTTAATTATCACCTGCACAGTACGACAGGTGTGAAGATTTATCACAAAAGACTTCGGTTTAGTTGAAGTGAGGTTATGATATTAAAATTTTTTTTTCTTAGAGATACGGTCGATGTGGAATGACGAAAACATAAAAAAAAAAATAATAATAAATAAATAAAAAGATGATCCGTGAAGTGAAAAAACTAAAATATAAGTAGCAAACCACACAAAAAAAAAAAAATTGATTTCATGATGCAATAAATTCTAATTAAGAAAATGTTTTGGAACAAAACGAAGGAGAAAGAAGACGAAAGGAAAGGATAAAGAAAAAAGAAAACAAAAAGGTGAGGAAGATCTATATAATCCTTCCATTAAGCAATAGGAAGATGAAAAAAAAAAAAACTGATAAAGGAAGGAGCGGAAGAAGAAGGATGAGGAGGGTAGACTCTAGATGAGTAAGAAAATGAGGGGGAGACGTAAGATTCGAGAAATTGTAAGGAATCATTTTTATTATGATTAGCCCTTTTGTATGCGCTCTTTGGAATACAATTCTTGTTGGGTATTTTAGAGTTGGTCAGTTCGACGGAGTTCTTCAACGGTACATAAATATGCGGCTAACGGGTTGGATAACGGGTCAATTACATTTATGGCATTTCACTTTGTGCTTCCTTGTTGATTATCCTTGTAGGTGCAATCTTTTTGCATATGCTCGAATCCGTACACTTGTGGCATTCCAATTTTTCCTTGAGCTAACATTCACCAGAATGAGGTTTGTGAATAAGATTAGTCTCTTCTTTGGAACTCTTGCCATGAGTTAGAAGTGGTGATCCTTGTGCCAGGTTTAGGCCTAGTCGCTGTATTCTTTTGAGATATTTGGTTTGTGAACGTTGTAGCTGAGTACGTCTGCGAATACCTCGAAACGTTATATTAAAGTGTAGTTGCATCGGTTGTTCATACATTTAGCAAATTAAAAGAGCATCTAAACATGATCATCCAATATTTCACAACGGAATCTGAAGAACAAACTAATGAGCTTCCTTAAGTAACTTCTACCACGGTTTAGGTTTAGGTTTGGGGTATTATTTTTACGTGTTATTTTTTTGAGTTGGACTATATTGAACTCAGCTTATAAATAGTTAAGTGCGAAGTGGTCATATGTGAAAGAAAATTCAAGCAATGACATCCTAATTTCTGCGAAAAGAGTTGGCAATTAACATAATTTACTTTTCTAATGTATTTTTTGTGCTAGAGAGAGAGAGAGAGAGAGAATATATGAGAAAAATTGTTGATCCTAAAAACTACCAAGCCTACGTGGTACGCAGGCTGAGTAATTAATAAGCTAACTATGTCGCTCGGTTGTGTGCGGGGGGTGCCAACTCGTCGGCCAAGCTCGGCCGGGAAGTAAAATGTGTTGATGTTGCGTTAAGCTCATTGTTGACTTCTTGATCTTGCGACTGCGGCCCAGGAAGGAACACGTCTCGGCCTTCGGGTTCTAGAGTTTAAAGACAAGGATGCTAGTCTTGCGAAGTTCACAGATCGTTGGCACCGAGTTCAGTCACGGTGATTCTATTCGTAAGAGTATAAGCACACCAAATTAACACCAGACTATATGGGCACAAGTACTTAAAACAAATGTACGTCTTAATCGTAAATGTGGTTCGACCGTTGGAAAGCCAAACTCTAAATCCTATAGAATTGTTTATGGAACTTTTCGACAAGTTCCTCCCAACTCTGGATGGAATTAGGCGGGAGGTTGATGTACCAAGCAAACGCTGAACCCGTTAGCGAGAAGTTGAATAGTCACAGTTTATGGAAGTCACTATTAACATCTCCGCATTGCGCAGTAAACCGAGCCACATATTCTAACGAAGACAGGGACGATTCGTTAGCAAAAAGGCTGAAGTTTGGGATTTTAAAACCTTTAAGATATTCGAACTTCTCTACATAAGCTGGGTATGGATGGCTGAATTTTGGGAATTCGGCCCCTTTTTCAATGTTGAATCGATCATTTTTTGAACCTCGACTGAATCTACTGCTGGTGTTTCTGCTTCTTGGTCGAATTTATTCGTTTTGCTATTCGATCCACCTTTTTTTCCCAAATCAATCGTTCTAATCCGAGCAGATTCTGTCTCGGTTGTTGATGTTGTTAGTAGATTATTCTTTGGAATATATTGTCTAGATCGATCGGTAAATCTTATATTTTGGGTATTACTAACCAGGACCTCAAACAATCTAGTGTGCACAGCGCTGTAACCACGTACTTCTTCTAGTATCCCTTTTATTTCTCGGCTAAACGTTTGCTCAAACGGTCGAGATTGTTCCTCAAGTCGTCTTCGAAAAAACGACCTAGTTGGTGGATCAGAGCCTTCGCCACCGTCTTCATCACAATCCTCCAATATTCCTTCGGTGGGAGTTCTTTTTGTCATTCTGGTGATGACTCATGTATCATGAAACGGCTTACTGAGACCAACTTCCGTTTCTCGACGTGCCGCACTCAGTGTTTCGAGCGTCACGTCAGCAGTAATTTGTGCCTGCAGGAAGCCTTCTAGCCTTGGGTTCTGGGCTATTGGTGTAGCGATCGATTTTCCTATGGTTGTTTTCTTTTTTATTGACCATGTTTTGACGGGCATGAACTTTGTAGTTTCCTACTGGGAGTGCCAAAATGTTGACCCTAAAAACTACCAAGTCGACGTGACGCGTGTGTCGAGTAATTAATAAGCTAACTATGTCATTCGGTTGTGTACGGGCGTGCCAACTCGTCGACCGAGCTCGGCCGGGGAGTAAAATGTGTTGATGTTGCATTAAGCGCACTGCTGACTTATTGATCTTGCGATTGCGGCTGAGGGAGGAACACGTCTCAGCTTTCGGGTTCTAGAACTTGAAGACAAGGCTGCTAGTCTTGCGAAGTTCACGGATCGTTGCGTCGAGTTTGGTCACGATGATTATATTCGTAAGAGTATACGCACGCCGAATCGACACCAGACTATATGGGAGCAGATGTACGTCTTAATCATAAATGTGGTTCGGCCGTCGGAATGCTGAACTCTAAATCTTACTTGTGAGTATCTAATCATAAAATAAGTCGGCGTTCAATGTGCCGAGCCCAGGAATCTGTAACACCTTACTTTGTCGAGAAGGCTAACGAGATGACCTCTGCCAATAAGTATTTGAAAATCCTTCTTGACCAAGACTTGGATAGATAACCAATCGGCCTCGATGCAGTGCTGTTTATCCAGACTGAAGGTGCTCCGAAGTCGGCTGATTCTACGACAACAGTGTTGTTTATCCAAACTGAAGATGTCACCGGTTGCCTTCACAGTGCTGTTTATCCAAACTGAAGATGTGTTGGCAGAAAAAGAAAATAAAAATCTCAAATTTGTTGAGAGGTTTCGCATAGGGAAAAAGTTTACGCATGACAGTTTGTGTGTTGAATTGGATGGCGTTTAGAATGATGCACCCACTTCTTATTTACAGCAGCCGATCTCATCATGGCCGAACCAAAACTACACTCGGATTAGGATTCTTTAACCTAATCTAACTAGGTCTCGGCCAATCCTACCTCCATTAGGATTTTGAACCAATCTCTTTATCCAGCCACATTCACTTCTCGAATCTCAGCATCCTCATCCATTGAGACTCCTTATAATACTAGGATTCGACTTACCCCATCAATCCGCCTCATACTAGGACTCGACTGATCTTAACCAAGCGGCCCATAATAACTAGAATTCGCGATGATTCTAGAAACATACTGCCGGGCCAAGAACAACTCCTAACTCAGCCCACACCAATATTTTGGGCCCAAACAAAAATAAGTAACGGAGAGGGATAAAAGGAGGTTGTGGGTGGAAGGAGGGAGAAATGAAATTAAAAACTTGATATAGTGATAACTATCCTATATTACGTTTTTGTTGTGTGTGTCATTTCGTACACATTATTCTTACATTTCTTCCACCATCATTCTTTCACTCTTTTGCATTTCTTATTTCTCTAAAACACAATTTTCCTTTATGTATAACACAAAAAATGGTTGAAAATTAAAACCGAAATAAATACCAAATTAGTCTATAATTTTTGTTTTGTAACTTAAATTCCTATGGAATATTCAGTTGTCACAGACTCTTTAATAAGATCGTGCGGCTGGAACTTAACCGTGCCTTAATTATTGCTATCTTTTCTGTTTCTTTTTTTTTTTTATTCCCTTTTTATGCCTGTCTTTAAGGAGACGCATAGCAAACCACCCAGAGAGGTTCAATCGAACCCCAATCCCTCCTCCTTTTGATGATTCTGGACAATCTGGAGAACGGGTTTAAGGATTTGGATTTTTATTTAAATTAATACTTTTCTGGAGCATGGATTCAGTGATATGTGAATACTCCTCCTTGGTTCAAAACTTCAAATTGCACATCTCAATTTCTGGAAATCGGGTTCAAGGAATTAGGAGTTTCAAAGTTTTATATTCTGACATCTTCTCTGAACGTTGTCAATGCGAGCAGATATTCAAATGCTACCGTAACCGATCCGGTTGTCAGGGCAGGACTTGCACTGCGCAGCAATACTTGGCGAGCTGGAGAGTGCGAATAGAAAAAATATTTTGGGTGGAATGACCTAAATGGACGCGGATAAAACGCTGATTCTTGATTAATTGGCGAGGGTAAAGTTAAAAGAGGATGGCAAATAGAAAACCTTTTTTTGGGTGGAATGACCTAAATGGACGCGGATAACCACTGATTCTTGATTACTTGGCGAGGGTAAAGTCGGGAGAGGATGGCGAATAGAAAAAGTGTTTTGGGTGGAATGACATGCACCCGGTCTTTAACATTGACCCCGTGACTCTTGAGTTAAATTTTTTTTCTTCTAGTCGGGAAAACTACATAAACAGACCCTCGACTTTGACCCTCAGGGTCATGTCGGCACTACTCCTCTTTCTCCTTTCCCCTCCTTTCTCTCCTCTCCGATTGATCACTCACCCCCTCCCTTCTCCCGATGGGTCATATAAATACCAATCAGATAGAGCAAATAGTTTGCAAGTCCCGCTCTGAAGCTCTGAAGCTCTGGAGCTCTGAAGTCCCGGTTACGGTGGCATTTGAATATCTGCCTGCCATCTTAAGTACTGTCTTAAGCTTGACGGCTGCCCATATTCTTCGTCTCTATTTCTGTTTTGGAGTTCTCTTTCGCTAGAAATTAAAAAAGAAAAAGAAAAAGAAAAAGAAAACAGAGCTCTTGTTGTTGGGAAAGAGAAAACAGAGCTCTTGCGTCTGTGTGAAGGTGTGACGAGTTTTCAACCTGACGATCTGGATTTTGTGTTTGTTTTCCTCTGTACAGGTGTCATATATACACAGATGGATTGTGTCCCGGTTGCTGTTAGCGCCCCTCGACGTTCGGAACTGGAAGGGTAAGCGTACACTCTGCTTCCCCTTCTTTTTTTCCTCGCCTTTTATTTGGAGAAAATGTTAGGATTTCACATTTAATAGCACATATTTATGTCATATATACGCAGTGAATGTAGCCCGACTTGATTGAATAACGATAAATCCATATTATTGTGCGATGAGGCCATGGGGGAAGTGGGCATCCAAAACAACACTTCACTTGTTTTAAACGATGTTGTGTTGGAAATGAAATTGATTCATGCGTTGTACGTACCGAAATAGCTTATTAAGTTTTGGGGGGGGGCAGGGGGGGGGGGGGTTCCAAGATTCCATTCCCTCGTATCTAACCTAAAAATGAAGAAAATAACTGATTGATTAGCGGTTAATTTATCAAGAACTCAGCTCTTGATAAGTCTAGGCAATTTTTTTGACAATTAAGAGCATCGAATTCGAATGTCTAGATTGATTCATTATAACAATCATTTAAGAAAATAGCAGCCAGATAGGTACCCTGTTACAACGTACTATTGCTTGCGTACTTAGTTGATATATTCCAATTCCATTTAATTTTCTCTTTAACTATATATATAACAGCACAAGCGACGAAGAACGTTCTACAATGGTATTGCATAAATATATCTCTTCCCTCATCACCATGCTAGGCATCTTCATCCAACTGAAGCAGGGAGCCAAAAACGAGTCTCTGTTCGATACAAGCTACCCGACTATAGTGTCTCTTATGGTTGCCATACTCGCTTATGGTGGATCACTAATTGGCTTTAGAGGCCCTAATTCGTGCTTGGCAGAATCAATCATCAATAAGATTAGCCTCCTCCTTGGAACTCTTGCTGTGGTTTTAGAAAGTTTTAGGGCTAGTAGCCGGATTGCTTTGGGTTGTTTGGTTTGTGAAAGTTGTACGAAATGACTACGCCTTCGAGTACCTCAAAACATTGTATGAAAATGCAATTGCATTAGTTGTTCATACATTTGGCAAATTGAAAGACTATCTGAACGTGATCATTCGACATTTCACAACGGAACCCGAAGAACAAATTGATGAGCTTTCTCAAGTAACCACAGTTTAGGGTTGGGGTATTTCTTTTACTCGTTATTTTTTCTCCTTATTTTGTTGAGTTGGACTATATTGAACTCAGCATATGAATAGTTAAGTGTGAAGTGGTATTATGTGAAAGAAAATTCAAGCAACCGCATCCTAATTGATTAGCTCTTTCATGCACGACTGCATTTTGTGCTCCGTTTTGCTGTTTCATTTCTTATGCTGCTTTTTCTTGCTAGCTTCATGTGGAGTATATTACTATGAAACTTATTGAGTTAAATAGATAGTGTTAAAGTATTGCTATGCAAATTTATATGAATTGATTTTCGTATTGTCTACCTTTTTAATTAGGGCAAGTCACTGTCTTTGTTTGCCAAAAAACCAAAAGAAATTTCTAATCTAATTTTCAAATCCTTGGCCAACTTGTGGTCAACATTACTGATCAACGAAGAGCTCTTTCAATCAGGCATTAGAAAGTGAACCAATTAATTTAACTAGATTGGTTAAAAGTGAACCAACATGTGGATGGTAATGCCAAATTGGAGATGACGGTGTCCATGTTTTGTCGAATGAGGAGATAAGAGTAGAGGGAGGGCAGAGATGAACGGAGTCTGGGTTTTGAGTGAAGGGGAAAAGCAGTGTCTGTATCACACTTGGCGTGGGAGGTTATTGGCCACGGAACGATATACAAAAGGTTGTCATGCCATCCTGTTAGAAAGTCAATGTAATTAGATAGGAAGGAATTATATGATTGATTTGTATTTGATACTTTCCATTGATGTATTCCTAGATCGTAGGTCTTCTTATTGTACAAGGAAAGCTATTGTATATATTCAGTATTCTATCAATGAAAGACTTATTCTGGCCAAATACATTTTTTCTCATGGTATCTAGAGCAGGTTTCAAACCCTAGCACTCTCTGCCGTAACCAGAAGCATCAGACTTCCTCTTTTTCGTTGTCTTCCTTCTCCATGGGTGACAGCCACAACACCATTATCAAGAAGGGCGATGGCGAGAATCTTACCGACCCTTATTTTCTTCATCCTTCAGACCATCCTGGTTTGATTATAGTCTAAAAAAAATTGAATGGGGACAACTACAACACTTGGTGCCGGGCTATGGAAATCTCCTTGAGTGCCAAGAAAAAAATTGGTTTTATTAATGGCAAAGTGAAAATGCCGTCTGAAACAAAGCAACCCGATGAACACGCTGCATGGCAGAGATGCAATAACATGCTTCTTGCTTGGATCATCAACTCCATTGAATCTGACATTTTGGACTCGATTCTTTACTTGAAGACAACCTATGAAGTTTGGGAAGATCTTCGGGAACGCTTTTCTCAGAGCAATGCTCCACAAATTTTTCAGCTTCAAAGAGAGATTGCCTCTCTCAACCAAGGACAACAATCCGTGGCTGCTTATTGCACCAAATTGAAGGGGCTTTGGGATGAGTTGGCATCCTATAGTTCTTCAACAACCTGCACTTGTGGAGCACAAAATGAAGTCAACAGACTTATGCAATTCCTCGTGGGATTGAATGAATCTTACAGTGCTATTCATGGACAAATCTTGTTGATGAATCCACTCCCTTCTGTTAGACAAGCATATTCCTCAATCATTCAAGAAGAAAAACAACGGGAGTTGGGCACTACCCGCAACCTGACTGAACTAGCAGCCATGCGGTTTGCCATCGTAATAGCAACAAGCAACAACAACAGTCATCGCAGAGCAGCAGCAATAGTCGACCTCCTCTTCATTGCTCTTACTACGATGCTAAGTATCACACAGTCGAGACTTGCTGGCAGAAAAATGGTTACCCACCGGATCATCCTCGTCACAATCCTAACAAGACACGCAACTCCAAAAAAAGTGGTGGTGGTAGCAGCTTCTCTCGTGGAGGTTCTTCTGCCAACCACGTTACTTCTACACCCACCATCAAGGATCTTCAAGCTGCTGTGCCTAACCTATCCGAAAAAACAATATGAAGACATCTTTTCTGTATTGAATTCCAAGAATGATGGCCCACTAGCTAAGAATGATCGATCACAAGCCCATGCTGCCGCTTTCACCTCTCAACAATCAGGTTTGTCACCGCTTGTTCTCTGTTGATGGATAATCGACAGCGGAGCAACGGATCACATCACTCGCTCACCTAGTTTATTGACAAACTCCATTAAAAATATTTCTTTGCCGCCTGTCTCACTGCCTAGCGGAGAGAAGGCTTCTATTACTTCGATTGGCAACATTCAATTAAGTGATTTACTACAATTGAAAGATGTTCTATGCGTGACTTCTTTCCAGGTTAATTTGTTATCTGTTGGAAAAGTTACAGATGGGTTACATTATTCAGTGACTTTTTTTCCCTCTTGGTGCATTTTACAGGACCTGATTTTGAAGGTGACGATTGGTGTTGGTAAGCGACGGGACAATCTATATTACCTTGTGGCGTTGGCTTCCACTTCCACTCTGCAAAAGCCAACCTTCATGCCACCACATCACTGTTTCCGCTGATCTTTGGCACCGCCGTCTAGGGCATTTACAATATTTAGCAAATAAAACCTTAAATTTCCCTTTTGATTCGAGTCATAGTTGCCATGTTTGTCCGTTGGCGAAACAAGCTCGCCAACATTTTAGTCGTAGCTCCATTTCAACTTCTATGTGTTTTGAACTTTTGCATTGTGACATTTGGGGTCCTCATAAGACTGCCTCCCTTAGTGGTGCTTACTATTTCTTAACTATCGTTGATGATTTTTCTCGTTTCACATGGGTTTTCTTAATGCGGCACAAACACGAAACACAAATTGCCCTTAAAACCTTCTTTGCTTATGTTGAAACTCAATTTCACACCAAAATTGACTTGAGGTTTCGAAGTAGACCTGAGGACCTTAAAAAAACCTAAGGATCTTGATCAAAAATTACAAAGAAATAAAGTTTTAATCAATAGAATAGAAGAAAGAGGGATCCATAGTGGAAAATGTCTTTCAATCTCAATAATACTCTTTGAGCTTTAATTTCAATAAGAGAGATTACATTCACACACCCTAAATTACTTTCCTATACTATTTTAATTATTTAATATTTTTTACACATCAATAGCATTTGATAGAAAAATATTAAAAAATTAAAAAGATACGGTGAAAGTAATCTGGAGTGTGTAATTATAATCTCATTGTCAATAATCATATTTGAAGGAATTAATGAAAAGTAAAAGTTAACAATAAGATGCTCTATGATGCGGATGCCACTGGGCTTAATGTTACAACAAGATGATCTATGGTGATGGGTCCACAACTCCCCGCAACGCGTCTATTTCTAAGCGAACAGAACTTGCTTGCTGAAAAATTAGCAGCGCTGACCAATCACAGATGAACACCTAGCAGCAGGGAGAGGCTGAGTGACCACCAGGAGAGGAGAGAAAGGAGGGGAAAGGAGAAAGAGGACCTTCAATCAGAGAGGAGACAACGGGGAGAGAAAGGACGGCAATTAGAAAAAGCATTTTGGGTGTCTTCACCAATCAGGGAGAAGGGAAATGGTGAGTCACCAATCAGGGCAATCCTTTTTTTCGCCGATAAATAGAATTGAGAAGAGTCTTCTCTCCGGCACAACTCCGGCAACGCGGAGCTGCATTTTTTCACTCACAAAGTCATATTTCTGGTTCAATAATTTGCATTTGCATTTGGAGACGACGTACACTCTACAGAGCTCCTTCCATTCTTCTACCCTTTTGTCCTCACAAAAGTAAGTGCGCCCATTTTTTGTGCTTTCAATTTGTGAGTGTAGCTCAAATCGCACTCACCACCGGACCGTCCATTTGATATCTGCTTGCCATCTTAAGTACTGTCTTAAGCTTGACGGCCCATGTTGGCCATATTCTTCATCGCAAATCTGTTTTGGAGTTTCTCTTTTGCCGGAATTTAAACAGAACAAAACAAAAAATAGAGCTCTCTGTTTTCTAAAAGAGAAAACAGAGCTCTTGCGTCTGTGTGTGTGGAGGTGTGACGAGTCTTCGATCTGAATTTTGTTTTTGTATTCCACTGTACAGAAGTATCATATATTCGCAGATGAATCGTGTCCCAGAGATTGCCGTTAGTGTCCCTCTACGTTTCACACTGGAAGGGTAAGTGTATTTCTGCGTCTCTGTGTGTGTGTGAAGGTGTGACGAGTCTTCGATCTGAATTTTGTTTTTGTATTCCGCTGTACAGAAGTATCATATATACGCAGATGAATCGTGTCCCACACATTGCCGTTAACGTCCCTCTACGCCTCGAACTGGAAGGGTAAGTGTACTGTGTATACTCTGCTTGTATTTATTTTTAATTTTTTTGCCTTTTACTTGGCAAAAATGATGGGGAGACCAAAAAGAACTGATCAAATAGCAATTAATCTATAAAAATCAGCTTTTGATGACTCTAGGCATTATTTTGAGAAATTAAGAGCGTCAAATGTCTAGAACTCTAGATCGATTCATTATTGACAAACATGGAAGAAAATAGCAGCTAGTTAGGTACCTTGTTCAACTCACCTACTTAATTAGTTGATTGCAAATGATATATTAACTTGATTAATTTATAGGTATATCATACTTTCTCAATTAGTTAATTTTAGAAGATATGTTGACTTGATTAATTTATAGATATATCATACATTCTCAATTAGTTCATTTTAGATGATATGTTGGCTTGATTAATTTATAGCTATATTGGCATGTGATGTATACAACCAACATCTAATGAGATAAATTTATTAATGGACGTGGTATGTACACATGTTCCCTAATGTCGTATCATATTATTATATATTTGTAGATAATTCATTAATGAGATTCTATTTAATTTTCTCTTTAACTATATATGTATAACAGCACAAGTGAAGAACGTTCTACAAAGGTGCATAAATACATATGTTCCCTCATCGCCATACTAGGCAGTTTCCTCCAATTGAAGCAAGGAGCTAGAGATGAGTCCCTGTTCAACACAGACTACCCAGCTATGATGTCCCTAATCGTTGCACTAATTGCTTATATTGGATCACTAATTGGCTCTAGAATACTCCACGTGCGAGCTCGCCCTCATTTGGATTTGGCAGAATCATTCATCAATAAGATTAGTCTCCTCCTTGGAACTCTTGCTTTGATTTTAGAAGTGGTGATCCTTGTACCAGCTTTAGGGCTTGTCACCGGAT